GTTGGAAGGGACTTTAAGACCGTTTTGTTCCATCCCTGCCTGAACCCCTGTGGCCGCAGCCCCCCTCACGTGCGATGGCTGGGAAGTGGGGCCGTGGGTGCCCTGCCCGTGTCGCCTCTCAGTGCTGGGTCAGTGCTGGCAGCTCTCCGGTCTCTTTGCAGGGAGCAGCCCTCAAGTACCTGCCCTCCATTCTCGAGGATGTGTTTGGGATCTTTGACTCCTCTGCACTGGGGTAGGGTCCCTGTCCCTGTCCTGTCCCCCCCATTCCCAGCCCTGTGTCATGCTCAGCACCTGCCACAGCCACCTCTGTCCCTGTGTCCGACCCAGAGCTGAATGAGGGCAAGTGGAGGGGTCTGGGTCTCCCGATGCCCTTCCCAGTGCAAAAATGGGAGGGGTCTGTTCAGTTTTAGCAGCTGCCTGTGCTGGGGCAGGGGCTGAGCCCCAGCTGGGTGTGTTTTGGGAATTAAGGTGGGGTTTGTTTGCTGGGTGCCTGCACTGTCTGTGGCTGCCCTCTGGGACCACCCTGCCCCACATGGCTGTACCCCATCAAGGGGCTCCCCCCGCCCAGCAGCCCCATCCTGAGCAGAACCTGGGGGCCCAGGGTTAACCACTGTCCCAACGGCAGGGCCGTGCTGCGGGACTTCGTGGGGAACCTGCCACCCCAGCGCCTGCTGAAGCAGAAGTTGCAGTCCCTGACCCACATTGCCAGCAGCAGAGTCTTCCAGTCCCACGGTGAGAGGGGGCATGAGGGGTCCTGGTGACACAGCCCTTGCTGAGCTCACCTGCGGGCTGTGGCACAGAAGGGACAATTCCCTGCACAGGCACACCTCCTCTGGCCCATGCCTGTGGTGTCTCCACAGAGGGGGGGCAATTGCCTCATCTTTGTGCCCCCCTCTCCCCCTCAGAGTGCCGGGAACTGGTGCTGCAGGCGGCCCTGCCCATCCTGCAGGAGCTGATCCAGGCAGGTGAGGAGGAGGACGCCTGCATCGAGCTGCTCAGCAGCATCCTGGAGGTGCTGTACCAGGCCCAGAAGGTAACTCAGGAATTGTCTGGCCAGTGACCTGACCAAATCCCTCTGAGTGGGGTTAAGCACAAATTCCTGGCCACGATATAGTCGGAGCTGACCGTAGTCATACAGGGGACTGTGGGTGCTGCCATCCCAGCAGGAACCTGCCCAGGATGGGGCAAAAACCTGCTGGTTTCCACCTCAGCGAGTCTCTAGTGGGTTCCCCTCCATTCCCATGAGTCAGGAAGGGGCTGCCTAGCTCAGGGACTGCACTGACCTGAGGGTGGGGGGACATTGCTGGCTCTGCAGAGCTGGGAGAAAGGCAAGGGCAGGGGGGAAGGTGAGGCCAGGGAGGAAGAAGATGTGGGTGCCTGCCCACCCAAATGTGGCCCATCCTGGGGGGGCTGGGTGGGCCGGGGCTGTCCCTGCAGGGTCTCAGTCCGGCTCCCGGGGCGCTGTGATTGCAGAGCGCGGAGGAGCTGCGAGCACGGGACAAGGACCGCGGGGACGTGGAGCTGGTGAGTGTCCCTCCAGCAGCCTCAGCATGTGGTTGATGGCAGGAAGGGTCCAGGTGACCCTGAGCCTTTGGGAAGGGCTTGTCTGCATCTGGCTGTGGTGACAAACCCTGCGTGGTCACCTGAGTCCCCCCGGGTGGGGAATGTCTCTGCATGCCCAGATTTTGGCAGCTGTCCTCCTCTCCCTGTGCTTCCTGGGGCTGCCGTCCATCCTGCCTTCCTGCAGCCACACCGGCCGTGTCCCTGCCCCTGGTGAGCCCATCATTGTCCCTGCCTGCCAGCCCAGCCCTCCTACAGCCGGGTCGGGTGATGGGACATCGTGTGGCTACTTCTAACAGTGCCATTCCCAGCACTTTGGGAACGTGCAGGGCTCAGTGCTCGCAGGACCCTTCCTCTGATCCTGTCCTTCCCGGCTGCTCTGTGCTCTGGAGTCCCTTTCAGGGACCCCTCGGAGATCACACAGATCTCACACCTGAAGCACAGTGACTGGTGTTGTGGGAACTGAGGTGAACATTTGCACCGTGTCCTGGGAGGGCGTGGTGGCTGTTTGACCCCCACGGCACTGGGAAGCCAAGGAGCGGGAGGGAAAGCTCAGAAATTGTGGTGAAATGTCTCATTTTGGGCTTAACTTTCAAATCTAAAATAGCCTTTATGAAGAGGGTGGTGGGACTCTCTCAGGGGAGGATTCTGCACTCGCTTCAACTCCACGTGAGCTGAACCCACCTTTGCCTGCTCAGTGCCAATGCGGCCGCCCCTATGACTCTCAGCCGTCCCCAGCTGTTCCCATTGTCCCCAGCCAGGTGGTCACTTTGCCAGGAGGTGTATGGGGCTGAGCTGCACAGAGATCCTGAGTTCTGTGTTTACACCAGAGCACATTGCTGTGCTCTGACTCCAACCCCGGATCAGGCCCCGTTCCCATCTTGCTGCCCTGATGCCACCAGCCTTTGCATGGAGATCAAATGAGCTGGGCTGTGCCATGCTGTGCCCCACAGCTGGGATGTGCCCCACAGCTGGGATGTGTCCCGCAGCTGGGATGTGCCCTGCAGGTGGGACATGCCCTGGCATGGCCCTGACACCTCTTACCTTGCAGGTGTGGGTGAAGAAGCACATCCAGGTGATCCTGGAGAGGCTGCTGCACACAGTCACTCGCAGGGTGATCGTCCTGGACCGGGAGAACCCACTGAGGGTGAGTCCCACTGCGCCGTGGCCACACCACTTCCCTTTGGGCCGTGTGGGAGAGGAACGAGGTGTTGCTGGTTTGGGGATCTGGTGCAGGTGACCGGCACTGCTCCTTGCTGGCTCTGCCAGTGGTACCCAGTGGGATGGGGCTGGATGCCAGGGACGTGCCCAGTGGAATGCAGGGAAAGCAGGAGCCATGCTGGGAGCAGGGCTGAAGCAGGGTGTGTTGGGCTGGGGCTGGATGTATGGGGGTGTACCACAGCGGGATAAAGGAGGAAGCCAGAGCTGTGACGGAAGCAGGGCTGGAGCAGCAGGGGCATTGGGAAGAGTGGTCAGGGGTCAGAGGTGCAGGAAGCCCATTTTGGAAGCAATGAGGGGTTTGGGCTGCATTCCCTGAAAAACAAGTAATGGACCTGGTGAACCATTACAGTTTTACACGCCAAGAACATGTGTGAGGAACGTGCCAGGACACATGGGAGGGGAAGCAGGTCAGAGCACATGGAGCAGCTGCACCGGGAGTGATGGGAGGGAGGGGACAGAGCTGGGGCCAGTGGGGGCTCAGGAGCTCCGATGGAGACGTGGTGACAGACCCAGGCGCTGTGCTGGGTCACGGGGTGTGTGAAGAGCCTGTATTTTGGGAGCCCAGAGAAGGGAATTGCCATGCTGTGCCATGCCACGCTCCGTACCGTGCCGGGGGAGGTGTGGGCATCCAGAGCGGCAGCTCTGCCACCGGGGCTGTGCCCGGATCTCGGCTGTGCCGTGCCCAGATCTCGGCACCGGGGTGTGATGCAGCCGTGACTCAGGCAGGAGGTACACACAGGGTCGCACTGGCTTCCACCCTGCTTTTCGCCCTCGTTCCCAGGCTGCGTGACTCAAGGCCTGGGGCAGCCAGAGCCAAAAGCACCATGGGGGCTGTGCTGAGCAGTGATGGGGTGAGGGGTGATGGGGGGGCCGCAGGGACGGGTCCTTTGGCTGTGCCGCGCTCCTGCCGCTCACTCGGGGCTCCTCAAGTGCCGTCTGGCAGCTCTCCCAGCACCGTCCATGGCTCCTGTGCCGCTGCCACAGCCCCTGCCCTCAGTCAGGGATCCCAGACCGTCAGCCCATGCTGCCCCAGCAGCTCCAGTGGCTGGGAAGGGCCAAGGGGACTGGAGATGCATGTGCCCACACCAGGACAGCGCCCGTCCATCCTGTTGCTGCTGGGCAAGAAGGGAGTTGCACCTCAGGGTCACTGTCCTGGCTGCAGCCCCTTGAGTACAAAGGGGGTCCCCAGCACCAGGGACGGGGTTTGACACCGGGCCATCTCCTGCACGTGTGCGTCTCCTGCTTTGGGGTGCTGCGGTGTGGGCACCAACTGGAGAGCGGTGGCCAAACCTGCCCACCCTCCACTCCCCTCTGTGGCTGCAGCAGCTGCTTGCCATGGCCAGGGGTGCCCCGTACTTTTGGAGGAGACCAGGAGATGTCCCCTTCCCCAGGGGCAGTGGCCCCACTGGGAAAGCCATGACTGCTCCTGCTACACTGAGGTGGCAGGCCCTGGCAGGCTCCCAGATGCTCCCAGCTCCCAGGTGCTCTGGGCTTTGAGGAGCTCTCACCAGTGGCTCCACAGTGGTGGAGGGTGGTCGGGAATCAGCACAGCATGGGGAGCACTGACTGCTGCATTTTTGGGATATGTCAGACACCCACCGCTGCTCCCTGCCCCTTGTTAAACCAACACCGAGTTTCCCCTCTCATGGCAGCCCCAGAGAGGCTGGAATATTTGAGCTGCTCATTCCTGTTTCCCTGTCATCAGCACCTCTTCCCTACCCATGGGACCCCTGCCCAGCCCACCCTTCCACACAGGGATTTTGGAGACAAAATCCTCCTCTCCAGGCCAGGGTCCCATGGAGACTGTTTTCCACCGCCTCTGACCAGTGGAAATCCTCAGTGCTCCTGGTTAACCTGCAGGCAGCAATGGGGGTGGGCCAGCAGGCCCCTCTGTAGGGTGCAGGGACAGGCACTGGTTTGAGCTGGGGCAGGCTTGGGGGCGTGGGGACTGCCAGGGGCCCTGGGGGAGCCTCAAGTAGAGGGGAGTCCAGGGGAACGGCTGCTGCCCCCTCCTCATCCTCATCCTCCTCCAGAACAGAAGAGCACAGGCAGGAGAGGATGTAACAAAAATAGCGTCTCTGTGGAATTTATTGAATTCTCCTTAAATACAGCCACAGCTCCCCTGCACACCCGGGCTCCCGCGTTGAACGGAATGGTTAAAAATAGAAAAGCTGGTGCTACCCAAACCCTACCGTAGGAGGGAGGGAGGAGAGGTGGGCAGGGGGTCAGTGCTGGGACGGTGCCCCCGCGCTCCAGGCTCGCCGGGCACCGCGGTCACAGGAACCAGAAGCATTTGCGCCGGGATTTCTTCATGTCCAACTTCACCGGCAGCTTTGGCGCGGGTGACAGCTCCTGCCTGGGCGGTGAGGTGCTGCCCGCCGCCCCCATGGCCGCCGGGGGGGGGCTCGGCCCGGCGTCGCCCTCGATGTGGCTCAGCACCCGCTGGAAGCGGCCCTCCTGCTGCCGGAAATCGTGCTCCACGCTGCGGGCAGCGGGGCGAGGGCACGGCGTCAGAGGGGATCGCCTGCTGTGGCACCCCCGCTTCCACAGTCCCCCCAGCGTGCAACAGCCCCCCACCTGCCTCAGAGCTGTGCCCTGCTGCCCACCTGCCCCTGGCACCCCAAACACGGCCCTTGGGGAGCTCAGATCTCCCCAAAAGTCCCCAGGGAACTCATCTGCTGAGGGCATGTCCCCCAGAGCTGAGCCCCCTTGCACTTCTGGGGCAGTACAGGGGCATGGCCAGACTTCCCAGGGTCACTGCGCACCCCTGTGAGGGGATGTCCTGCTGCATGTGCCTTCAGACAGCCCCTGCCCACCACACTCACCCCTGTGGGCTGTGAGGGGGGGTCTGGGCCCAGATCCCTCCCAAACAGCCACCCCATCTTTCCTGCAGCCATGGGGTCCGTGCCCAGCATGTGGCACCTCATGGCTGTGCCAGAGCATCCCAGGCTACCTTCTGCCAGAGGGACAGACCTGTATCAGCCTGACTTGGTGGCAGGGGGGGTCTTTTGGGGTGGATCCCCCTCAGCTGCCCACCTGCCACCATCCTGCTCCTCCGTCCTCGGTATCCAGCCTGGTGCTGATGTGGGGGGTTGAGCCTGGGGTCTGTGGGACCCCCGGTTAGCAATGAGTCCCCTGGAGAGGGGCTGCATGTCCCTGGGGCCAGGGCCCAGGGCAGCTTTGGCATCAGGAGGTGGCATGAGCATGCAAGGGCTCTGCTGCTGCTTGTCACACGGCTGTCGTGGCGGGAATTAGGGTGCCCCAGGTCTGGGTGGGTGAGTGGGCCTGTGCCCCCCACCACAGCCCTCAGGTTTCCTTGCGGTGCTGGAGCCCTCAGTGTCCCCACAGTCCCCAGTGCCCCCCAGCCCTGGCTGTGCCCCCCAGCCCTGGCTGTCCTCACAGCCCCCGGTATCACCACAGCTCCCAGTGTTCCCGCAGGCCTTGATATCCCTCCAGCCTTCTCTGTCTCTGCAGCCCCTGCTGTCCCCACAGCCCCCAGTGTCCCCAGAGCCCCCGGTGTCCCTGCAGCACCCTGTGGTGTGGGCTGGCTGCTGGCAGCCACGTGCCACGATGTTCCCTCACAGGGAAAACATGTCAGTCTCCTCACACCAGCCATGTCCCATCGGATCAACGAGGTGCTGCGGCGTGTGCTGGGAACACACGTGGCAGAGCACACGGGGAGTGCCCCAGGAGCCCCCGTGGCACTCTAACACCTCCCTTCACCTCCTGTCACCTCCCCTTGCGAGGACACGGAGGGTCCTCAGCCATTTCCAGGAAAAAATGGCAATGGGCACCGGCGGCCCCAGAGCAGGGGGCAGCACAGGGAGGGACCTTGACTCCCCAGCACTGACACAGGAAAGGGTCAGCACTGCTGGGGGGGTGCTCGGCTGGTGCATTGCCCTGAGGTGGGACAGGGGCAGGCAGATCTGACCCCACCACGGGCCATCCCTGGGGTCTGGTGCCAGAGGTGCTCCCCTACTCCCCCACCCCATGTCCCACTAGAGCCTCTCCTCATCCCGCGGGCAGCAGCAAAGCCCACGGTGAGTCCCCAGTGGGAGCCTGGCCATTCCAGAGATCCACCTCCCCCATGTGTGACATCTGTGGCACTGCCATGCCACGTGGAGACAGGCTCGTCAGGCCCAATTAGCGCTGAAGTCCCCCATGAGCTACAGCAGGGGAGTGCGGGAAGAGTGTGGAGAGCAAGAACACTGAGGCAGCACCACTGTGCACAGGGGCACGAGGAGTCTGGAGACAGGCACCCCCGGCCCTGGGGTGCATCAGGGAAGGGGCACAGTGCTCACAAAGCACAGAAGGGCTGTAGCACACTCGTGCACCACAGAGCAGGGCTTGGGAGCAGCTCTGTGCACCACATCCCACCCATCCCAGCGCCCAGAGTCAGCCTAATTAACAGCAAAATGAGAACACACCTGGCCATCCACCCACACTGCAGAGGGGACAGCCAGAAGGACACAAAGGGGTGCCTGGAAGGGCCGAAGGCTTGAGCAAATTCCCAATTCCTCCGGGAATGGGGCCTGAGAGAGCAGGGAGGGCATGAGATGCCTTTCCCCACAGACCAAACGGGCTCTGAGGAAAGAGGGCAGCAGAGGATGGGGATTCCACACCCCGATCCAAAGCCAGCACTGGGAAGCAGAGACAAAGACCCTGTGTTCCCAAACAGCAGCGAGGGGCAGGAATCCATCTGCAGCATCTGTGTGGAGCTGGCACAGAGACAACGGGATGCAGCCTGGGCTCGAGTGAGCCCACGCACCAGCCGCTGGTGAGGCTTCCCCAATAGATTGCCATTACAGGAGATAAATGCTCTGCCATCCTGCCAGAGCAGTCTCCTTCCAGCTGCTGCTCCTCCATGGAGATCACCCTTGCTGCTCCTGGGAGCGGGAGCTGCTCCCCACAGGGATAAAGGGACAGATCCAGGCCGAGTGACAGCCAAGACACCCAAGGGTGCTCCGTACATGGTGCCCCCCAACACCGGGACAGGGGGTGCAGGCTCACAGACCCCCCTCTCTCGCCTCACAGAGGAGTCAGGGGGTGCAGGGGAGCAGGACCCCCAGGAGCATGCGGAGCCAGGGCTGCCCTCACCTGTAGATGATACAGGCACAGTCCCGGCAGGTCCCACAGTTGGCGATGTCCTGCCCGGTCCGGTACGAGTGTCGCCTGGGACAGAGATGTGCCATGAGCCCAGAGACCCGGCCCGGGTCTGCCCGTGCCCCCCGCTGCCCCCAGCCCCTCATCTGCCTCTGAGCTCCTACCCCAGGAGCCAGGACCCTCCTCCCTGGATCCCAGTCCCTCTCCTCCCATGTGATCCCATTTAATGCCAGGCCAAGCACGGTTCCTCTCAGCTTCACAGATTTCTCTGATGGGAACAAACCAGAGCTGGGCCCAGCAGCAGTCCCAAACCCTTCCCGCTGTCTGTGCCCTCCCATTCCCATCCCCATCTTCATCCTAGGGGTCCCCACGTCCGCAGCCCCCAGGTGACCACACGTGTCCCCACACACAGTGCCACAGGGGGAGCGCTATGTCTGTGCTGGAGCACAGGCACACGGCAGTGCCCTGGCAGATGGGCACGGGAGATGCTCCAGACTCATCTCCAGCCTACGCTAGACTTGGAATTTATCTCTTCTTGATGCTTTTGTACCAGAGCATCCTCCTCCCCCTCCGGGAGGGTGCACAGGACTCGGATTAAGCTGATGCGTGCCCAAGCTCAGCTCATGCTGCCACATCCTCCTGCTGCTCCACAGGAGGAGTCTGCACCCTCCATGTCTCTGCTGCTGGTGCCAGACCCCATCCCCGAGGCACCCTAATCCCAGCGGCTGTGCCAGGGTCCCCCTGCACCCCAGCACTGCTGGGGGTGCTTCCTGCCGGTCCCTGGCTCCCTCTGCTCTCAGAGCTGTAAGAAATGGCCCCTGTGAAATATTGTTGGTCCCCTTGGGACCCCACCTCTGTGTCTCCATTGCCCCCTCAGGGCTGTGGAAGGGGGGACAGCTGAGAGAACACCCTCATGTCCCACATAGATGTCACATTTTCCCATTGAAATCTTCCTCCTGTTACTTGACCTTGACCACGGTTGTTCTCAGCCCTCGGAAACTGGGTCTGTTAATGCACCAAATTATACATTGCAATGGGGATTATTCTATCAGCACCCAAATTAGATCATGAGACCTTTTATATATATATATGGTACGTATGTGTGTGTGTGCCTGCGGCTCTGACGTTTGCAACAGCACCTCTGTGCTGGGACAGCTCACCCTGGGATGGTGTTCAGTGTTTAAATATATATGGTATGTGTGTGTGTGTGTGTGCCCATGGGCACCTTTGCCAGGACGGTTCACTCTGGGATGGTGTTTGGTGCAGGATGTTGCCAGCAGCTGGTGCCTGGACTTGGCCAGGACGTGTCAGGGCTGGTGGCCCCACTCTAGTGCACAGTAGGCACCTGAGATCTGACCCGTAGCAAATGAGGCCATGCTGTTCCACAGCATAAGGACACCAGGATACTGTTTTATGTGATTTCCTGTCCCGTTCCATGTGTCTCTGGGTACCTTGTTTGCTCACTTCACTGTAACAGTATATGGAGCCAAGGCCTTAATTGAGCTGTCCTGGCTGCACCTGCCTCAGTGGGTGCCAGACTGAGACCCCCAGGGGTCCCTCCCCACTGGCAGTGCTCCAGGGGTGGCACGGAGACGGCATTCCCTGCATTTCACTCACACCCAACACTGGCTTGATCTGATTGAACAAAGGGATCTCTGTGCTGCCCCAGTGGGAGCTGACAATCCTGGGCATCAGGAACAAGCCCCAGAGGTTTTACAGGAGGGTGCCGGGACTGGCACCTCCTGGGAGGTTGGTTGCCCTTGTGTGAGATGAGTTTGGAGGGTCTCAGCTGGGGACCATCATGGACTGACCACCTTGAGCCATTTGGCAAATCTGCCTGGGAGGTCAAGAAATGCTGGTCTGGGGGGAGACCTTGCCCAAGAGAGCAGATCCTGGGCAGGCCAGACGGGGTGCTGGGCACCTCCCCTGGACACAGACACACCCATCATGAGGGCACCGGCCACTGGATTTGTGCTGAAGGTACCTCCATGGAGGGGCTGGAAGTAGGTGAGAGCTCAGGGTGGCTGCACATGTGGCATGGCAAGGACATGGTCCCCCGCTGAGCCAGCCGTTGGGATGTGACATCCCAGATCCCTGTTCCCAGTGACCAGTGGGCAAGTCAGCTGCACTGGATCTGGGCAGGGGTCCAGCATCCCCTCGTCCCCCAGGCCTGCACCCCCTGCACCCATCCTTGGGCACGGGGAGGGCGCCGCAGGCGTGAGCAGAACACGCTGGGGAGGGTGAAACCTCGCACTGAGACACGGAGCCGTGTGCGTGTGGACAGCAGCTCTGAGCTTCTCAGAGGGAAACATGTCCAGGAGGCAGCAGCACCCAAATCTGGCAACGTCCCCTGTTCTCCATCCCCAGCCCCCAAGGGACATTGTCTCCCTGGCCCCTCGCTCCATCCCTGCCTGCTCACCCGTCCCGCTGCGCCTCCTTCTTCTCCAAGTCCTGGATGACGTCCAGCAGCACCCTGATGGTTTGTTGGCTGGTCTCCAGCACCCCTTCCAGGGACTGCAGCTGGGAATGCAGGTCTCCCTGCTCCCCGGGCCGCCAGGGGCCCTCTCCCTGAGTTGTCTGGGCATCCTCGTCCCTCGCTGGTGGTCCCACCGGTCCCTTGGCCACCACCACCAGCTGCAGTAGGTCCTGGACATGGTGCAGTGTCTCCGGTTGCTCAGCAGCGAGGCAGGGCTGCCCGTGCTGGGGGGGCTCTGGTGCCCACCCTGCTGTTTGTGTCCCCGTGCTGGGGCCCTGTGGGACTGGGGGCAGCAGCTCCCTGTGTCCCTCGGGTCCTGCCCGGCCATGCCCGGGCTCAGCAGCGTGGAGCCGGCTGCAGGTGCTGAGCACAGCTGGTGTCTTCTCCGGTGCAGCGGCGGCAGCAGAGCTGTGCCAGCCCGGCACTGGTGGGATGGGGGCTGGCGAGGCGCAGCAGGGCCCCCCCCATGGCGAGCCGCAGAGCTGGTGGTGGGGTGGAGGGGGGTCCCGGGGGGGGTTGCCCTGAGGTGGCTGGCGGAGGCCATGGGTGTCCGTGGCGGGGCCGGGCTGCCGGCGGTGCGGGGAGGGCTGGGGTGGTGGGCGGCCGCAGGGCAGGGTCCGCTCTGAGTCGCTCCGGCCAAGCCCCCGCTGCTCAGCGGGAGGTCGGGGCTGGCCACAGGGTACGGAGGCCGGGCGTGGGGTGACCCCGTGGCCACCTCGTGGGCTCCCGCGGAGCTGGGCACAGGCGGGGGGCGGCGGGCAGGGCTCAGGGGCGCAGCGGGCAGCGGGGCACCCGGCTGTGCCGCGGTAAGGGGGAGGGGGGTCCCTGGGCGGTGGCAGTGGTAGGGGGCACACCGTGGCGTGCTGGGCGAGAGCCACGGTGCGGTCATGTGTGGGGAGGTTGCCAGGGGCCCGCGGGGGCACAGCCCAGCTGGTCGTGGTGGGTACGGCCACCCCAGGGCACCGGGCACTCGCCACAGTGGGCAGTACCGCATCCCCTGCCACATCGCAGACGCTCCTGCTGCGGGGCTGGGGAGCTGGGAAGGGCTTCTGGAGGCTGGGGGAGGTCTGGATGGCCGTGCTCATGCACGCCTTCCTGGGCATGGGCAGCGTCAGCGAGCCCGGCTGTGCCTGGGGCCAGCTGCGCCGCGAGGCACGGAGAGCCGCCGGCTCAGGGGCATCCCTGGGGGGCGGCGAGGCACGTGGGGTGTTGGGGCCGGGGGTGGCCGCGGGCCCGGGCGGGGGGCTGCCCGCCTGCCCTGAGCCGCCCTCCACCAGGTCCTTGAAGCGGACCTGCTGCGTGCGGTTGCGCCGGCGCTTGAGGCGGCTCTCGATGTCGGGCGAGTCGCGGTTGAGCAGCACCGAGCGCACCGTCATGGCTTTCTCCTGGCTGCCCTCGCCGGCGGGGGCCGGGCCAGGCACGGGCTCACGGCTGACCATGGCTCAGGGCCGCGGGGCCGGGGGGCTGCGGGGAGGCGCGGGGGGCCGAGCGCCGATGGCCGGAGCCCTGGGCTACACCCGTCCCCAGAGCTGTTAGAGCAGTGGGCAGCCTCATCCCGCGCTGCCACAGAGAGGGGATGCTGGGCGGGAGGCGGGCGAGGGGCCGCGGGGCATGCTGCCCACTGCCCGGCCCTACAGCCCCCGGCTCGCCGCCCCGACAGCCCTGCCCGGCACCGCAGCTCCCCGCCGGCGCCCGCAGCCCATCGTCCCGCGGCGGCTGCCCGGGCTCAGGGCCGCCTGCATTGGGCCCGGTGCCGGCCGTGCCTGCCCATGGCTCCTGGGCTCTGGACCTGCGGGGACAGAGAGGTGCGTCAGCCCTGGCCACACCACCACAGCCCCCGAGGACACGAGTGTCCCTGCAGAGCCGCCAGCCTCTCCCGCCTCAGCTCCCTCCCAGCCCGCCATCACCAAACACGAAGAGACAGACTTTGATCTGCGGCGCTGCCTCCTCAGCACAAAGGGAGAAGGGAAAAGAAACCCCTTTAGCATAAACACGTTCCGAGTTCACAGCTCAAATCAAGCAGAAGCAGCTGTTAAAAATAGCTCTGCCTCGCCGGGGCTGGTGCCTCGTGCGTGGGGCGGCAGTGGGAGGGCAGGCACAGGACAGGGTGGGGGGCACGGGGCTCCTGTGAGGGACGGACAGACACAGGGCACCTACTGCACGTGGGACACCCACCACGCACAGGCACCAGCTCTGCATGGGCTGGAAAGGGCGTGGGGCACCTATCCAGCATGTGACGTGGCTGGAGTGGGCATGGGGCATCCTGCACTGGGCTTGGCCAGATTGGCAGAGGGGACCCGTCGTGTGTGGAGCGTGGCCAGATGGGCACAGGGATCTGTCACGTGTGGAGCATGGCCAGATGGGCACCGGTGGTGCTGGCTGGGCTGCAGATGTGGGGGGCCAGCTCCGTGGGCAGGGGTGAGACTGTGGCTCGGGGAAACTGAGCCACTTCAGGCATGTGAGAATCAGCAGGAGCAAAAAACCTTCAGTGAGACTGTGGAATATCCCCGACACCAGCATTGCTTCCCAGGCAGCACAGGGTCAGGACCTGGGGGCACAGCGGGGATTGCACCCAGCCATATCCCCATCCCTGCCATCCTTCCTGCACAGCTCGGCAGGGCTCCTTCTCCACACACCTGCCAGGCAAACCCCTTCGCAACCCCATCCGGATGTACCCCCAGCACCCAGCCCCATGCCCAGCTGGCTCTGCCTCTGCCCACTGGGTCGCCTGCAGCTGCCCCAGCCCATCACACTGCCTGGGCACATGGAGCACAGGGCACACTGGGAGCCCTGCTGGGATGTCCCAGGGTGCAGGGGAGGCCGATGGCTAATTTCAGGACACAATGACAGGGAGAGGGTGGGAGAGACAGAGATGTCAGCCCTGGTGCACACCACACCATGCCATATCCCATGTCCCACATCCCTCTGGTCCCCAGCCCAGACCACAGGCTGCTGCTCCCCCAGGGCCCCCACGCCCTCTCAGCACAATAAGGCAGGAGCCTCGCTGGCTCCACAGTCCCTCTGTCCTCACTGCAGGTGGACACATGGCACAGCCACCCCTTGGCCCCCTCCCTGTCTTGCCTTGTTCCTGCTGGCACAAAGCGCTGACTCAGCACAGCAGCCCGGAGTCCCCAGCGCTGGAACAACCAAACTTCCGAGTGCTGCACGTGCCAGTGCCCAGTGCCTCCCCAAGCCCACAGTGAGCACTGACCCAGCAGAGCAGGGAGCTCACACAGCCCTCCTTGCCCCCACCCCGGCCCTGCATGCCCCAGTGCCTCTGCACAGCCCGCCCGCACTCGGGATGCTGCTCCACACGCTGCCCAGCCGCCCCGCGCTTCCCTTCCCGAGCTTGGAGCCGTGCCCAGACACCCGGAGATGTCTGAGGCAGGACGCGACGAGGGATGGGACGGGGCTCTTCGTTAGTATGGGCAGCATCAGGCAGAGGAGTGAGCTGGCCGGGGCTGGAGCCAGTGGCACCCGTCTCGTGTCCCGCATTGCCACAGCCCTGCCTGGCCCAGGGCACGGGCACCCACTCCATGGCCATGGTGTGAGCCACCCCCTGAGGGCCTGCCTGCAGGGTCACCTCTCCCCCTTGTGTCATAGAGGGGGCCATGCCCTGGGCCAGGTGTCCCACGCCCAGGTCCCCGGCAGCATCCTCGGCTGTGGCTGTGCCAGGGAGGGCAACACGCCGAGGGCAGAGGGGCCCAGTGGGCACATCTCTGTGCCAGAGCCGAGCACTCCAGAGGGCAGCCTGCATGCGGTCAGCCTGCTTCAGAGGGTTCCTTAATGGGAGCACTAACCAGCACAGGGCAGAGGGTGCTGGGAATGGCTCCAAGGGCCGAGCACAGGGCAGGAGCACCACTGGCACGGTCCGAACCTGGACCAGCCCCGTGATCCTGCGGCGGGCACCTCGCCGAGCCACGGCTGACGCAGCGTGGGACGAGGCTGATCCCCCGCCGACGCAGCAAACGCGGCACTGTCAGTCAGCGAGGCCTCGCCGGAGCCCCCTCGGCCTCCCAAACTGCTGGGAGATCAGAGACAAGGCACAAGGACAAAGGGAAGCCTATAAATTATACATGGAGCAACTTCATTTGGGAACAGCTCCGAGGATGTCAACCACCCACGCCAGGACCCTCCCACACGTCCCTGCGTTTGCTCTGTGCTGTGGTTGGATTTAGTGCTGCGCTCGGGCACTGTTTGCAGACACCGGTGTCTGCATGGATAACGAGCCCCCTGTAACCTGGGTCTGCCCTCTGTGACGGGACCCCCCAGACTGTCACTGAATCCGAGGAACCCCCTGTGCTGATAGGCCCCAGGACACCTTGGATGCACCCAGCACCCAGCTGCACTGGCACTTCCCAGCTCTCGTCAAGCTTCATATACGGGGAAATGGTGCTCAACGCCCCAATCCTGGGGTCCACCAGAGCCCCTCCAAGGTCCAAAGCCCACCACAGCTCCTTCCAGGGTCCAGTCCAAGAGGACCCCAAGGCTCTGGTCACTCCTCTCCGGAAGAGACCTGTGAGAGCCCCCGAGACCAAAGCCAGAGCCCCGGTGCTCCGCTCCAGTGTGCCCCGCTGGGCTCTGTGTCTGTGGGACAGGGGGTGTTGGGCACCCCCTGGGGTGGTCAGTGGAGAGCGACCCTGGGAGAGCCCAGTGCAAGGGATGGGGAGAAGCAGAGCCCTGGCATGGGGGTCCAGGGAATGTGGGTGGGCTGGCACTGGCCAGGGAATGGGCTCAGGGCTTGACTGATCCCCTCTGAAGGACGGCAGCGTGCGCCAGCCACGCCACTCAGTGCGGGGCTGCGGAGAACACGGCTCATCAAACCCATTTGCTGCTGGGCTTGATGAGGTTCCAAGTTTGGTCAGTGGAGGTAAAAGCCTCGGCGGAGCAGACTCGGATTTCTGTGAGGCATTTGACATTTCGACGAAGAAAGCAGGATAATCCCAAAGCAATGTGACACACATTAAATGGATTAAAACCAGCTAACCAGCACGTCTCCACTTGTAACCATCCCACAACCATCACCCATAGCTGGACTCTGCCCCACTGCCACAGAGGGGCAGCGGCCCAGGGCACTGTTTGGTCCTGACCACAGAGGGAAACTGAGGAAATGGGAGAAAATGAAGTGCAAGGAAGAAAAAAGGCCAACACAGAGGCAGGCGATAGGCGTGGGGCCGAGGCTGCGTAGGATGGGGCTCTGGGCAGCAGTTCCAGGCTGTGCTCATGGCAGCTGGAAACACGGGTTGACAAGCTGGAGGAGCAACTTCCTTAAAAACTGAGGCCAGCTGGTGCAGGAGCAGCTTGGAAAGGGAGGATCCTCCATCTCAGCAATTTTTTAGATCTGAGTGGTTTTTCTCCTCTGGTTCCTGTGGCAATTCCAGGCTCATGGATAAGGTGGGACAGCAGGTCACATTGATGGTGTACAGGTAAAACCAGGTGATTCTCCTGTAATGCAACAGAGGACATGAGTCCTGCAGCAGCGGGTTGCACTGGATGCTCAGCGCAGCTGGGAAGGATGTCTGCTCCACTGAGCCCAGGAGCTGAGGAAGTGTTGGGAACCTCTTCCCATGGACACCACTGACCAGAGCCCACAAAGATCGAGTACCCTCCTAGTGAGCAGCACCAGGGCTCTGAATCATGTGCCAGCCCAGCTCCCTCCCCAGCCCAGAGCCCTTTGCCGCAAACACGCCGTGCCATGTCGGATGGTGGGATGCCACACCTCATCCTGCATCACCTGCCCACCAGCCTGCAAAGGGCTTGGGAATCTCCCCTGGGAGAGGCCCAGCACTGGGTTCCTCTGGCCAGCACTGACTGATGGTGAATTTTGTGGGTGAGAGGCACTAAACCAGCCGGGTTTGCATCGTGGGACTCATCTCGCATGGTGCAGGGCTGCCCTCAGAGGACAGAGCCCTGCTTCACACTGCTCTGTACAGAAAGTTATCTGCCAGCTTTGGCCCTTTCCCCACCCATCCTCCTCCTCGTCCTCCTAGTAATGCCTGTGGCAGAGGGAAAACCGGAACAGACACATAAATCTTCTCAGGATGCAAGAGGACGGGAGATGAGATTTATGAGGGAGGAAGTCAGATTCTCCTGGAACTGCAGAGGAGAGCAGCAAATGACCCGGCTCCACTCATGAGGTAACAGCTTCTGTGGGGCAACACTTCTGATTTTTCTGATCTTCAGAGAAGAGAGAGGTGCTGCTGGCAACGGAGATGGTCAGCACTGGAGGATGAGGCACTGGAGGGGCAGAAGCCAGGCTCGTGACACATCACTCCACAGCAGAGTCTAATCCTGCCTTGGCTCTGGGAGGACTCGAGGCGTTTGTACTCAGATCAGAGCATCTCTGGGACTCGAGGAAGGAGGACTCAGAGCAGCTCCTCAGGCAACTTGCACACCCAAAATCCAGTTCCTCGCTGAGGAAGCTCCACCACGAAGGCAG